ATTTTGAAAGCCAGGCCCCGCCCCCTGCGTCCATACGCGCAGGGGGCGATCAACCTCCAGGGGAAAAGTTCGAACAAGCACAGATTAACTACCGTAAACATCACATGGGAGGTGGGAGTGCGAGCGAGCGAGCGAGCGTGGGTGCGGGCGTGGGTAGGCGTGGGTGGTGAGGGGGAGTGCGTGCACAGTCTGGGCGCGGGGAGCCCGAAACACGACGGTGGCAGGCGGGGCGGTGGCGGTGGGGTGAGGTGGGGTGGGGTGGGGTGAGGCCAGGCGCCTGCGCGTCGGCTGCGAGCGGCTCCGACTCGACGTCCGACTCGAGGTAGGCTCGGTGGCGAGAGTAGAGCGCGCGGCCGGCGGCGTAGACCTGGTTGCCCACCTGCGCCGCGCTCATCCCGAGCAGTTCCTTAAGCTGCAGCAGCTCCGACAGCTCCGCAGGCAGGACCTGCTTCCCCTCGAGGCAGGCCGAGAGGTAGTACAGAAACAGCTCCGACAGCTGCTTCTGGTAGCGAGGCTTGTCGACGCCAAAGGCGGGGGCGAGCGAGGCGATCTCGTCCGCTGTCACCGCCGACAGCCCGCGTTTCAGCAGCGCCGCCGCCGCCGTGCTCGCCGCCTCGCGCCGCTCCTCGTCGATCTTCTTGCGACCGACTAGCCCGAGCGCACCGGTGGCGGCGGCGCCGACGGCGTTGACCGCGATGCGGCTGGAGGGCATGAGCACGTAGCCGACCGCCGCCGCCGCCGCCACCAGCGCCGTCGAGCCGCCCTTGGCCGCCGCCGGCCCCAGGTCCTTGATCTTTTGCCGGACGGGCGTCTCCTGCTGCAGGTAGGCCTCGTACACGTCCTGCGCGGCGACCATGCGCGGCGCGAGCGGCGAAGCGGCGGAGGCGACAGCGCGGCGCGACGCCGGCGCCGAGGCCGGAGCAAAGGCGCCGAGAGCCGCTGGGCAGAGGACGATGAAGGCCAGGACGCGTGCCATTCCAAATCGAGCTCTCGCGCAGATGCGGCACCTCTTTTTCTTTTTAATCCTGGCGGGCTGAAAGTGAATTTTAATTACAGCAGGGGGAGGGCTCCCAGGGCTTATAGATCTTTTCAGTTGCAACCATCGTGATAGACAAGGCGTTCAGGGTGATAGGTGCGAATGGCCGCGGCACAAACTGGAGGCGATATGTAGCGCCCGGAGCTGATGGTATTGTTAAAAATCTCTCTCTCTCTTAATATCGCGCGTGGTGCATATCAGCCAAAAAGGGAATCTGAGAGAATCTCGATAAAAATTCAATGAATCTTGCGCAGATTTGCTGTTATGACTTGTCATGCTCTTCTTGGTTGGAGAGAGAGAGAGACCTGGCTCACAAGCTGAAGATGTTCTCGGGCCCCCACACGGAGGCAGGGGTTGGGTTGGTACTTGGTCATTACCCTGCGGATTCAAAATTTGAATAGCCCTCATCTGGACCGAGATTAATTGAGATTGGGGGAGATTGGCGCGAGATTGGCGCGAGATTCTGATCTCGATGAGAAATGGCAGGTTTCAGCTGTCAAAAAGTGAAGTCAGCACACGATTTTACCCCGGGGAGGTCACACTTGGGAGTGATGAGATTGTAGGGGCGAGGCGGACCGGAGGCGGGCGATATGCGCTTTGTTGGTGGGAAGTAATTCACACAGTGGCGTTGACCGATATATGTATGTATTTTAGGGATCGCGAATGTTGGACGGAGGGTGGACGCGTCCAGGGGGGGGTCAGGGGGGGGGGTCGAGAAGAGGGGGGGGGGGTATTATCCCGAGCGCTACATATCGCCTCCGGGGGCGCTACATATCGACGTCGATATGTAGCCGGAGGTGGTATGTAGCGCGCCGACCGATATGTACCGCCCCGGACCGATACATAACACCGGACGATATGTAGCGGGGGTCGCGCTACATACCGCGACCGCTACATACCGCGTTCAGGCGCGACATATCGGGAGGGGCCACTTTCCTGACGCATGCAAGTTCTATCCCTCTAGTGGAACTGGGCAAGACGAAGAGCCACCCAGCCAAACTTTTCTTTTTATTTTCTTTTAATACAGTGTTTCCAGTCCCGTGCCTACTCGAGTGGGAATGAATTCTTTTAAAACCAGCTGACGCCGCCCTGTTTCGGCCCAGCCGACGCGGGGGTTCCTGGTTTTGCATGATGTGGTATGTCGACCCCGACGCCGGATCCCACTTCGCGACGCAGCACCCCGTGCCCACGGACGATCTGCTGCGGATGCGCCTGCCACCCTCCACGCTCGTCTGGCGGGATGGGCTCGAAAACTGGCAACCGATCTCTGCGACAGCGGAGCTCACCGCCGCCGAGCCGCCACGAGTGGCAAAGCCGCCACCGCCGCCCGCGAAATTGCGGCTGGCACAAGCCTCGCTCCAGCGAGACAGCTCCGAGCTGAGTGCGCTGGGCACCGCTCGTGGCGAGGAAGACGGCGGCTGCAAACGAGGTGGCCCAGCGCCAGCTCAACCGGGCTGGAAGGCGGCGATGACGACCGACGGGGGCGTCTACTACCACAACGAGGCAACTGACGAGGTTTCGTGGGAGAAACCTCCTTCTCTGCAGACGGCGGAGGAGAAGCAGGCCAGCCAACCACATCTCCCGCCGGCGCAGCAGGGAGGACAACCTCTTACACGCCCCTCCTCTCGTCCTCCACTCCCCTCAGGTGGACGAGTCGGATTGCGCGTGGCTGCCCACGGCGGAGGGCTGGACGCCCGCCTTTGTCTGCGCGCGGAGCAGCAAGGGCAGGGTGCGGCTGCGGCCTGTGGACGGCGGTGCGACGGTGGAGCAGCCCTCGGAGGGACTCGTCCCACTCAAGCTGTCGTACCTCGACGCGGCGCCCGACGACCTCGTGATGCTCGAGCAGCTCGACGCGCCGCTCATCGCCCACTGCCTGCAGAAGCGGTACGCGGCCGATAAAATCTACACGTGGGTGGGCGCAGACCACTCGGTCCTCATCTCGATCAACCCCTTCAAGCACCTCCCCATCTACGGGCAGTACTTTTTGGAGCGCTTCGCGGCGCCCGCGCCCAACCGCGACGTCGAGCCGCACACCTACGCCCTCGCCCGCCGCGCGTTTCGCGGCATGATGGACGCACGGCGGGATCAGGCGATCCTCATCTCGGGCGAGTCTGGCGCGGGCAAGACGGAGGCGACCAAGCAGTGCCTCCACTTCCTCGCCGACGCCGCGGGCACCAAGTCTGGCGTCGAGCAGCGCATCCTGCAGGCGAACCCGATCCTCGAGGCCTTTGGCAACGCAAAGACGGTGCGCAACGACAACTCGTCCCGCTTCGGCCGCTGGATGGAGGTGCACTTCGAGTCGTCCGGCCGCGTCGAGGGCCAGATCGCGGGCGCGTTCGTCGAGTCGTACCTGCTGGAGAAGTCGCGCGTCGTGGCGCAGGCGGCGGGAGAGCGCTCCTTCCACATCTTCTACCAGCTCTGCTCCTCGCCGCGCGCAGCCGGCCTCGGCCTCCGCCCCGCCTCCGAGCACCGCAGCCTCGGCCGCGCCGGCTGCACAGCCATCCGCGGCGTCGACGACGTCGCCGACTTCGAGGCGGTGCTGTCCTCGCTCGCCGCCATGGGCCTCGGAGACGACGAGGTCGGGTGGGCGCTCCGGCTCTGCGCCGCCTCCGTCCACCTCTGCGACCTCGACTTCGAGCCGTGTGACGGCGGCGACGGGTCGCGCGTCGCCGCCGGCTCCGCCACCCCCCTCGCCGCCGCCGCAGAGTGCCTCGGCGTCGCGACGAGTGCGCTGAGCGCGGCGCTGGTCGAGCGGGCCGTCGTGGTGCGCGGAGAGGCGCAGCGCATCCGCAACACCGCTGGCAAGGCCGACGAGGCGTCGGCCGCGCTGGCAAAGGCGGCCTACGCGGGCCTCTTCCGCGACCTGGTGCGGCGCATCAACGCCGCGTGCGGCGGCGAGCGGGGGCGGCTGATCGGCGTCCTCGACATCTTCGGCTTTGAGATCTTCGAGGCGAACTCGTTCGAGCAGCTCTGCATCAACTTTGCAAACGAGCGGCTGCAGCGCACCTTCTGCGAGCACACCTTTGAGAACGAGCAGGCCTCGGCCGCACCACGGCCGCACCTGTCCTCGGATGAACCTCGGATGAACCTCGGCCGCACGGCTGCTGCACCTCAAACGCTCTTCGGCTGCACCTCGGCCCGACCTCGGCTGCACCTCGGCCACACCTCACTCGTTGAGGCCAGCACAGGCCGTCTACGCCGACGAGGGTATCGCGTATGACAACGTCCCCTACATCGACAACGCGCCGGTGCTCGCGCTCCTCGCGGAGAGGCCCTTCGGGCTCCTCAACTTGCTGGACGAGGAGGTTCGTGTGCCCCAGGGCTCCGACGCCAAGTGGCTGGAGAAGGTGTCGCAGCGCCACGCCGACCACCCCGCCTTCGGCGCGCCAAAGCAGCAGGGGAAGGCACGGCGCGACTTCTTCTGCGTGCGGCACTACGCCGGCGAGGTGCGGTACAGCGCGGATGGGCTGGTCGAGAAGAATGCCGACCGCCTCTCGCGCGGGCTGTACGACCTGCTGTCGGGGAGCAGCTGCGGCCTCACCCGCGCGTGCTTCCCGCCCAAGGACGACGCGATCGCCGGCCGGGTCCGGACCGTCGGCGAGGAGTGGCGCTCCCAGCTGGGGGGGCTGATGCAGAAGGTTGGCCGGATGTCGCCGCTCTTCATCCGGTGCGTCAAGCCCAACCAGCACAAGCGGCCCGGGCTCGTCGAGTCCAAGGCAACCATCGACCAGCTCTCTTGCGCCGGCCTTTTCGAAGCCGTCCGAATCCGTGCCACCGGCTTCCCCTTCCGGCACAGCCACGCGGAATTCGCGCGCCGCTACCGCTGGATCGCGCGCAAGCGAGGGGGCTGGGTTATCGGTCCGCTTCCGGCCCACCCGACGGCGGAATACTGCGCCTCGATCCTCAGCTCCGTGGCGCAAGACTTCTCGGCAGTGGAGCTCGGCCGCTCTCTCGTGCTGTACCGCTCGCGCGAGCACAGGCTTCTCGAGCTGCTCAAGAACCTCTCCCTCGGCCGCGTGCTGCAGCACTTCCAAGCCGCGTGGCGGCGCCGCATCGGCCGCAAGTTTCGCAAACTGCTCCGGCTCGCGCTCGAGGGGCTGCGCGCCTCGCTGCAGACGGTGCTCTCGCGCGCGAGCTTGGGAGAGGGCGACGCCGCCGCGCTCGAGGAGGCCCTCGCCACGTACCACGCCACCCTCGGCCGCGTCGGCGCCCTCTTCGTCGAGTACGAGCCGGCCGAGCTCGAGAAGGCGCGCGCCGTCCTCCGCGCGATCCGCGAGCGGAGGCGGCTGACCGAGGACGCGCGGGCGCTGCTCGCCGTGCCCGATCTGCGCGATCTCGACCTCCTCCAAGCGCTGGTCGGCCGCTTCGCCGACCCCGCCTTCTCGCTGGTGGCGCCCACCGCGGAGCAGGCGGCGGTGGAGGAGGCTGTCAAGGCGCTGCACGAGAGGACCGTCGGCGCCCTCGAGCGAGCCGCCGAGGAGGCGCACCGGCTCCTCGACCGCGACGCGATGGAGGCGGTGGCAGCGGAGGCGAGCCGATACTCGTTCACCTCGGCGGCGCTGGCGGTGGTTACCGAGGCGCGCGCGGCATCGCGCATGTGGGAGCTGCGAAATAGCGCTCACACCGCGCGCGTCTTTGGACTTTAGGCGCTGGGCATGCAGGAGCGCGAGCTGGTGCAAGCGCAGCTCACGCGCGCCGTGGAGATGGGCGACGCCGACCGGATCATCTCGAGGGAGGCGCGCGCTAGCCTCGTCACTGCCCGCGCCTCAGCCCCCTTGCCCCGCGCGAGCGCGCGAGGCCCCTCACCATTGGCGATGCCTCGCCTCAGGTGGCCTTGCGGAAGCTCCTCTTCGACGCGCACCCGCAGCAGTACGCGCTGGAGCATTACGCGGGGCTGCGTCCGCCGGAGGAGTGGGCGGCGAGCAACCTCGCGAGCGTTGGAAGCAACCTCGCCGCCGGCAAGGTGCTCGGCAGCGGAGGCGGCAAGGCGGAGCGAGCGGAGGGCATGCTGCGTCACGCGGCCGAGCCGATCCACCGCTCGCTGCTGCGGCACGACTCGCCGGGCCTGGCCAAAGAGGCGACGCGCCAGTTCAAGAATCTGCTCGCGTTTTGCGGCGAGCGCAAGGCGGCTCAGCCCGAAAGCAGCGCCGCCGAGTGGCTTCGCGCTGGCGTCGAGGAGCCGTCCTTGCGCGGCGAGATGTACGTGCAGCTGCTGAAGCAGCTCTCTGTCCCTCTCGCCGCCGGCGGGCGGGCGACGCAGCGCTGCTGGCATCTGCTCGCCGCCAGCCTCGCGCACTTCCCGCCTCCGAAGCCGCTCGAGAATGTGGTCGGCTGCTTCATCCACACTCAGGCGGCCCCGGGCGAGCGGGGGACGTACGAGGCGCTCGCCCCTCGCGCCTCACGGTCGTCCACAGCGTGAGCGGCGCCATCTTCACAGATGCGGCGGTGTGAGCGTAGGTCCTCCTCCACACCTCGATCTACCGGGGCGCCTCGCCCCTCTGCGTCTCCTGCTCGGTCGGAGACGCCCTCGCCGCCTCCAGCTCGCTCGACCTGAGCGGGGCCCTCGCCGGCGAGGACACGGTGAGGGCGAGCCGGATCCCCGCCATCGCTCCTCCGGCGCCGCAGACGCCACCGCCGCAGGCGCCGGCGCCACGGATGCCGGTGCCACGGGCGCCAGCGCCGCGGCCCGCGCCGCCACCGCGCACGCTAGCAGCACCGGCGTCGCCGGCGCCACCAGCACCGCCGCCACCGCCCCCGCCTCCGCCGCCTCCGCCGCCTCCGGCGCCAAAGGCTATCGAATGGCACCGACAGCCCACCTCGTCCCATGGGACCTCGCGGGGCACCACCTCGGTAACACGTCCCGGACACACAAGTATAGGTATTACACCGACGCCCTTCGCCAGGCCGTCCACGGGCCCGTGAGCGCATCGCAGCTCTCGCTGCTGCGGCTCGAGCCGCAGGCCCTTGCGTGGAACGAGGCGATGGCCGACTGGAGCCCCGTGGCGGCGATCCCAGAGCTCGCCGCGGCTGCAGGCGCCTAAATTGTGTGGAGTGTCGGGAGCGGGGAGGAGAGCTGGATGGACCGCTGACCGCGGCTTGAGTCCCTGGTACTCTTGAGACGCGACCGTGTGTGGATACTCTACCATGCACATACACATATACCGTACTCCCTGGCGATTTGACGTGTACAGAGGAGTGGACGCGCATGGTCTCTTGCCCCTCCCTTCGTCGAGCAAAAGTAGAGCAGAAAGAGAGAGAGCTTAGCGACAGCGTGGCAGCCATTCGACACAGCGACGGCCATTCAGCGACATCCGAATTCGGAAGCGGCCAGCCAGGGCCCAGGGGGCGCCGCCGTGAACGAGGTCAAGCGTGCACGAGACACGGAGAGAGAGAGAGAGAGAGAGAGAGAGAGAGAGAGAGAGAGAGAGAGAGAGAGAGAGAGAGAGAGAGAGAGAGAGAGAGAGAGAGAGAGAGTACGAGGGTGGCATTAGTGAAGCGAGACGTCGCTCCAGCCACGCATGTCCACCACCGACCGCGACGCGGTTGCTTCAGAGCCCCCGGGGATCGGCCGGCTCGCCGCTCACGGGCTCACGCCACGATGTCGGATGGATGCGGCCTTGGAGCACGCTACGCCACGAGGACCTGGACTCGAGGACCAAGATAGGCCCTGGAGATCTGGCGGTAGCAGTACATGAGCGTGGATGCGACTGCGTCCATGACCGTCCCCTCCTCTCCGCCGTCCGCGGTCTTGGCCATCGAACGGCATTGCGGCAGGCGGGCGGCTTTAGCAGGCACCAGCACTTGGTTTGCGCGCTGGAGCGCCAGCGACTCAGCGCGCTGCTTCAGCACCTGCTTTGCACGCTGGAACGCCGAGGTCTGAGCGCCCTCCTGATCAGTTGCGGCGGTGTGCGGCCGAGCATCGATCACGTTTGGGCCAACGAGAAACTGGGCGACGAGCACCACGCGGCGCCCGTGGGTGACGCTGTGCCCCGCATGCCAAACCGAGCCGTCGTGGACGGCGCAGGTGCCACGGCCCTGCCGAATCACGACGTCGCCCGAATCGTCGATGTAGCGCGTGCCGCCGCCCTCGTACGAAGAGGCATCGCTGAGCTCGACGATGACGGTCTGTCGGATCCCGTGGGGGTGCACCGCCCCGTCTGCACGGCGCGCAGGGGTCACAATGGGGTGTCACAATGGGGTCGGCATGGTGCGGGGGCGCGCGTCTAACATGGGCGCACCTTGGTGAGGCGGCGTCCCCACCTGAACGTGCCCCGACCCGCCGGCAGCAGCAGCAGCCACGTCGTACACGGACAGGAAGAGGTTCGATCGGAGTGGGAACGAGAAGGGAGAGAGGCGCAGCCACGGGTAGCGCGCGCGGAGGAACGGGATCACGTTGTCAGCCATGGCCCGCCGGAACACGTCGAGTGCCGTCTCGTTGATGTTGAAGTACGAGTACCTTTTTGTCGTCACTCGCCGTGCTGAAGTACGCTCGAGGCGGCGAGTGACGATGGTTCCTGACGTCAGGAAGTTGCACGGCCGCGTCACGTCGTAGACGCAGTTGCAGTCGTAGCGGCCTTGATTGCACACGCGTCGCGGCGTCTCGAGCGGCTCGAGATGCCGGATAATGCTCTCCGCCCTGCGCGTGGCGGGGGGAGCTGGCTCGGCTCGTGAGGCGCGAGTGAGGTGCGACGGGCGCGTAAATTGCAGTGCGCACTCTTCCAAGAGGAACGCCGCGTCAGCCTCATCCATGCACGCGAACGAGTACGCGACCGGCGCCGCACCAGCGAATGAGATCGTGCTGCCGTCGCGGGCACGCTCGAAGCCGGTTTGGTCGAAGGAGACTCCGAGAGCGACTTGACCGGTGGCGTGCACCACGCGCTCCGAGTCGAGGCACAGTCCGCCGGTGGGGAAGGCGTGCGACTGGAGAGGGACCAGGAGGAGGTTGAGCACCATGGCGATCGGCCGCGCCTTAGGCGAGAAGCGGACGGAGGTTGCGGGCGGCGGTATATGCAGAGGAAGGCACGGCGGCGGCGGGGGCGGGAAATAAGGTGGAGCGGTGGCGTGCGGGCGCAGTGGGTGTGGCAGTGACGAGGGTAGCGGGGCAGCAGCAGGGAATCGAGTGGCGGTCATCGTTCTGGGGCATTCTTACACATCGTGTCTCGCCGCGAGCGCGCTGCCGTCCGGGCAGTAGTGGCGCGGGCGACGGATGCTGCAGCTCATTAGGCGGCGAGTGGGAAGCTTGCGAAGGGCGGGGCAGGACACAGGGAATGGCAACCGAGCGCACTTGAGCGGCGGACTTATTGGCGATATGCGTTGTGCGAGGCGAAATGGGACAGGACAGGCAAAATCGGGCAAAAGAAAGAAGCGCCTGCGTTTTCTGCGCCCTGATCGTCCTTCCAAGATCCTTGCTCTGCAGGGTGGGGACTCTGTCCTCCTCCCACCCCCTAGCTTGACTTGGCTGTCAGCTTCCGTCTTTCTTTACCGACTCTGACACACCCACAAACACGACGAGCGGGATGTCTCGTCTCCGCCCGCACCTCTCACAGGGCCACTAACTGTCACCACACGAGCCGCCTCTGCGGCGTGTCTCGCCGTTTGAGCTGGCCGAATGACACCTCCTCGTCGGAGCAGCGGACGGCGGTGAACGCCCACTTCTCGGAGAGGAACATCAGCAGGTAGGTTTGCCCGCCAAGGGCCACATACACCGAGTCCTTGCGCCACGGCGACGGCACAGGACCCCACGTCCCTTCCCCCCACGGAGAGGAGAGCGCACCGCCTGCGCGGAAGTGGACGCCGCCTCCCTCTCCGCTCCACGACCACTCCTCGTTTGCGGCGAGGAGCGAGTCGCCCAGCTTGAAGTCCTTATAGCCCTTGTCGCCGAGCGGCGGCATGCGGTCGGTGTTGACGCCGACCTTGCCCGAGCAGCCGCCCGTGTTGCGCCCCTCGCCGCCGTTCCAAGGCTTGAGCGCCGCGTCGTCGCCGCCGTGGTAAAACGCCTTGATGGAGACCATCCTCGCCTCCTTCTCCGGGTGGTAGTTGACGTGGCACGAGACTGGCACGTGGCGGCTGCGGTCGGCGAGGGCGGCGTCGGAGCGCATGTGCTTGAAGAGGAACTTTGTGTTGAGGAAGCACATGTAGTTCATCGTGCGGACGGTGACGCCCGCAACCTCGTGCGAGCCGTACGCCAGCCGGAAGATCTCCTGCGCACACGCGAGGCGGGGCGCGTCAGGGCGGGCCTCGCGCGGCCGACCGCGGCTCTCTCTCGGACGCTCCTGGTTGTACGCGCTCTGGTCCCAGACCGCCTCCGCGGCCACGCGGCGGGCGAGGATCTGCATCAGCCGCAGCGAGGGCCGCGTCGCGCCTGCTCACGGCTGCGGGCGTGAAGAGAGGCGGGGCTGGCCCAGCCGGGGGCGAGGGTCGCGTGGCGGCCGAGGTAGAAGAGGCCCGAGTTGCGCGCCACCAGCCGGAGGGAGGCGAGGGGAGGCTCCTTCGAGCCGGGCATCGCCGTCGGCAGGACGTGGCCGTAGGCGGTGCGGTCGTCCCACCCGTCCGTCATGCCCTCGACGTCCGTGTCGCGGTAGAGGCCGAGGAACGGGTCCTGCTCACGCGGACGAGGCGTGAAGAGGCGCACCTCTCGCGCCGCGTCTCTCTGCGGAGGCCGAGCAGGTCCTTGGTGATGACGATGTCGACGTCGGAGAGGAGGACCGACACGCCCACCTATCCGCACCCCACCCCTAGTCACCACATCTCTCCCCATATCTCCCCACATCTCCCCTCGCGGCAGGGCGGGGCAGCCACGCCGCACCGACAGCATCTCGGCGAGAATTTGGAATTTGAGCGACGAGGTCGCGTGGTTGTCCGTGCCGCCGCCTCGCGCGCGCAGGCTGCGCCGGTACGAGGGGCAGCCTCGCCCGTCGAGGAACTGCTTTGTCCGCTCGTCGAGCGCGACGACGAGGAAGTTCGGCACGCCGACCTTTTGGACGACGTCGACGAACTGGCCGAGCATCTGCAGGATGTTCGAGTTGGAGACCTGTGCCCGCGGGGAGGCGTGAGCAGACGCCTCCGCGCCGCCGCCCCGCCGCGGGGGCGCGGTAGCACCGCCGCCATCACCGCGCGCCCCACCGCCACCTTCTTCACCACCTCGCACAGCTCAGGCAGCTCGGCGCAGTTGACGGGCCAGGGGCCGTCCGCCGGCGCGATGAGGTCGAGCGGCTTGGTGTCGCCGCCCGCGGG